AAATTCAGTGTGTTTTTGTATCCATATGTGGGCTAAAATCTTTATGCTGACATCATTGTACTGTTAGAATAATTCTGTCAAAATAAATGTTGAATTTTAGGAGTCAAAATGTACCCTGTAAATTTTTTACTTGCTGATGATATTAAGAATAACAGACAAAATGGAATTCAATGCATTAGAGACTTCTGAAGAAATGAACAATGAACAGATATTTTATGATGACACCGAGTGATTAACTCACTTATTATTACTTGTTATTTTATGATTAAACTCTTTACATAACCATGGTTTTGCATAACTAAGGACATATTTGTTTTTAATGAGTCATCTGATTAATAAGGTGAAAGCTTCATGTTAAAATCAGTATTAAAGTAAATTTTAGCACATGAAGTTTTTCTCTTATGTTTGTGTATTCTTTGGCTGTGTTAAGGAGTGTTTTACCTTTTTTCTATGCCAGAAATTGTAGACATGATCTGCAGTGTCTGTATGGAAACTTGGGGTTGTGAATACTGAACTACTGTTATTTTAAGAAATATAGCCTGAATTTACAATGAAACAACTGAGGTTCTACCAAGAAATGTGTTTCCTTCCTGATGAAAGCGTGTTGAATAATATTGCTTTGGCTAAGAAAAGTACCTATTACTGAAAAGAAAACTCAGGAGACAGAAAATGCACTTAATTTATCTTTGAAAGTTGAACTAAACTTTCAGTTGCGTATTTGTGCTTTATTCATTGCAGTGTGACTGCATATGCATTCTAAAGGGAATGCTGTGAAGAGATTAAAACATTTTTTCCTCTTGGTGCAAACATTTTTCTTTCTTAGATAATGTAAATGGGGCGTACAATTGCCAATTCTCACTTTTTTCATCAGTCTTCTACATCAGAAAAATAAACTTTAAAAATGGACTATACTTTTTTTTTTAAGTATGACATACAAACCAAGTATTTCTAAGATGTCCCTTTCTTTTCTCTTAAATTTCAGACGTGGGACACAGAACTGGAGAGATCTGCAGAATTGTGGGCTGAAGCCTGTCTATGGGAGCATGGACCTGCAAGCCTTCTTCCATCAATTGGACAGAATTTGGGAGCACACTGGGGAAGGTAGTTCAAGATAGTTTTTTTATGCTTTTGTTTTTAATATTAACACAATTTGCTGGTTAATTAAAGGAAGAATGATAGAAACTACAACTTTTTAATGTTCTAATAGACTGCTATTGGTTTTCATAGGTACAGACCTCCAACATTTCATGTCCAAGCATGGTATGATGAAGTGAGAGATTTCTCATATCCCCATCCTCATGAATGCAACCCGTATTGTCCCTACAAATGCTCTGGTCCTGTTTGTACACATTATACACAGGTATGTAGGTGGGTTTGCTTTTCGTCAGCTATGGAAAAAAATTATCAGGACCTCCAGTTAGATTGCTGTGTGACACATAGAACATAGTATTTTTTCAGTAGTACCATAGCACTACAGCACAAAAGGGAAAAAGGGACTCATTACTAGACTCCACAGTTACAAGCATGGAGTATCAGTGATACGGAGTAGTGTTGTCATACAAATCTTTAGATTTAATTCTCATAGACGTAATTTCCTTAATAGGATTAGGGAAAAAGATCACAAATCCCAGTGTTAAAATGAGTGTTACTGCTCACTGCACTTTGCATAATCTAGTCTCTGCGCTGTATGCTGCATCTTTTCTGTAATATGAAGAAACAGCACATTTTAGGAAAAAAAAAAAAGCTTTTCTTAGGTGAATTCCTCAGATCAAAAACTAGTTTTTAACATGTTGCTTTACATTCAGCAATATTTTTAAATTGCATAAGGACTAATATATTTGGTACATCTGAATCTTTGTGTCTAATCTGAATTTTTACAGAGGGGAACCATTCACATTTTCAGTGAACGAGAAGTACAATATCCTCTAAAGTATACTAAAATCCATATATAATTTTCAGTATATACTAGGAAACTTCAAAATGATTCATTTTTAAACATTAATTTTTTGTTTACTATCACAATTTACAACTGTGTCTATTTTTAAGACAGATTTATCTCTGTATTATTATTTACTATTTCTGTAAAAATACCTATAGGTATGCTTACCCATTACATGCAAGATCTACAGTATACACATATAGTTCTTTATGGTACTGATTCTTCACAGTACCAGTCTCTTTCACTTCTAAATCCTGCTGGAGCTGCACAATTGACTTATCTTGAATTAATACAAATTCAGCACCTGTCATATTTATCTAATTTAAATGTTCCAGCCTTTGTTGTTCAGGTTATTTTGAGCTCTGCAATGAAAGTTTTTTTCACAGATTAATAAAGGAGCATAGCCACCTTAGAGTGAAATTACATGAGAGGATGTTATTTAAAATCCATGAGTTGAGTCTTGTCAGTGTGTAAGCTTTTCTGAATAGTTTTATCAGTTATATTACGTTACACTGCTGACAAATAACTATTCTCTCAGTCTAAACAATGTAATCTCTTCTGAATCCTTAGGTTGTGCTGAGAGCTCCAGGGCACAGGAACCTAACTTAATCTAACTCATGATTATCTATTAATTGTAATTCTAAGAATCAGTTCTTCATGTTTGTAAATATTTTGCTACATTTCCAAATACATGCTTAGACCATTTATATAAAATGAGAGCCTTATGCTTTGTATCATGGTGAAGCTTTCCTTTCTACTGAGGATGTAAGTGAATGGCTTTTTGACAGTTGTAATTAGGTCACTTCTAGCCATTTATAACAGAGGTGAATATAACATGTTTTGAGTTTTGAGTTTTCTGTGTTGAAGTTTGGAGACAGGTTCGATTTTATGTTAAACAGCTTTGATTTTCACACATTTTTCTCTTTCCTTTTCTGTAGGTTGTTTGGGCTACAAGTAGCAGAATTGGTTGTGCAATTAATTTGTGTCATAACATGAACATTTGGGGGCAGATTTGGCCGAAAGCAGTCTATCTTGTATGCAATTATTCTCCTAAGTAAGTAAGCTGACACTCAAAAATATCTTGAGGTAGCAAGATATTTTATAATAATCCAGGAAATAATTTCAAAGGAAATCAGTCTGCGTTTTCTCATTTTTGCACTGTTACAAAGTAGAGCATTGTTCCCAGGGCAGCTCCTGGCTGCATAAATACTCGTGTGACTTTCTAGACCTTGAGTTTTCTGGCCTGAGTTTTAGCATAAGACATCAGAGAGCTTTGTTGCAGTATGATATTTGTGTGAAAAAATCAATTTATCTCCCCATTGTGACTTTAAGGAACATGTAATGTGAAGTGTATGGTTAAGATCAAATCCTATAGGCTAATCCATTTAGTAGCTCGGAGCCTGCTCTCATGTAATTGAGGAATTTAGTCTTATAGTGCTATACCAATTAAAAACATCTTAGAGCAGTTTATGGCAGTGCTTCAATTTTTTCTTCATAGACTTTTCAATTATTTCCTATGCATTTGATATAGAATCACACAATCATTTAGGTTGGAAAAGACATTTAAGATCATGAAGCCCAACAGTAAACCAGACACTGTAAAGTCCATCACTAAACTATGTGCCTAAGCACCATATCTGGTCACTGTTCCAGTGCTTGATAACCCTTTCAATGAAGAAATTGTTCCTAATATCCAATTTAAAATTCCCCTGTTGCAACTTGAGGCCATGTCCTCTTATCCTGTCACTTGTTACTTGGAAATATCAAAACACTAGTATGGCCTAAGTGTCTGCTGATTTTCCCCATTTATTTGTCCACATATTAAGTGTTGTTAATATGTTAATTTATTAAGGCATGTTTTTGCTAATTTGTATTTTTTTTTGTATGTGTAAAGGGGTAACTGGTGGGGTCATGCACCTTATAAACCTGGCCGCCCTTGTTCTGCATGTCCTCCTAGTTTTGGAGGAGGTTGTAGAGAAAATCTGTGTTACAGAGGTATGTACTATTTCAACAATACATCTATAAATGGAAAGAGAAATGTAACCTTTCTTCTACTTTTTTTTCCTCATTATGCTTTAACACAGTGGAACAGAAAATATTATGCATGTGCTCAAAGACCTGGTAAGGGCCTATTTTACTATGATGAAAGAGGTCATGTATTTAAGATACCTGAGGCTGTGCTTCACCGGAGTGAAGTCGATTTAGGTGCTGATTGAGGACTTTTGGTACACAGAGATGTAGACTGTTTGTGTGCTATTTGTGTGCTGTTCTGTAATTACAGTGGAAGTCTGTGCAGTCATTTGTTTACAGGGAGGTGCTAGCTTAGTGATGTAGCCATGGGCATTACTATAAGAAAAATCAAGTACAAGACTAGAAGATATTAGTAATTAAACATAATGTCAGCTAGGATGTTTATTAACATCTTGCAATTTTTGTAATGCTATTCTTACTTTATAACAATGAAACTCAGCATAATAAGAAGCTGATTTTTGGTTTGTTTTACTATTGAATCTTTTTGTTTTGCTCTGTGTACAAGTAATTTAGCTATTTTTGTTAATAAGTTTTTAAAGTTCAAGTGGACCATAAAAGCTGCATGAGTGTGCCCACATATCTTCCTCGTGGTTCTTGCTTGAGTAGGAAATGTAGATTCAGTGATGAATATTTCAAAATTATTTTAATTAAAGATGATTACAAAGGCCTCATTTTGAGATATATGTTTTTACAAAATCAGCTTTTTTAATCACATGAACTAGGTAAAACTTTTCCGATGTGTAATAGAAATATCATCTTTGTTCTGTTGTGCTGTTGTGCTGCCTGTGATAGAAAATATCTGCCCTTTCTCAGCATTAGAAACATGCTTGAGATGTATTATTAATCCTTAAGGTCTTCATCTCATAAGCAGTGGAAGTTTTTCCTTACTTTCTTGCTTGTATTCATCCACCATTTTATGAGAACAAAGCCATGTTACCGAAACATGGTAAGGGGTTCCACAAACACTGATTTTTTTTTTCCTGAGGGATTGTTTTTACTTGTTTTCTGAAACAGAGTATTCAGAAAGGCCTTATTCTCCCCATGAACCAGAAGAGGAAACGAATGAGATTGAACAGCAGCGGTCCAAAGCCCAGGATGCAGTGGCACAAAGCCAGCCAAGAACTCGTTTACCTTCCAGCTCCACAGCCACTGATGACAGTGAGAAGAATGAAGTAATAAGCACACAGCAAATGTGTAAGGAATTTACCTGATTTGCAAGTGGTCAACCAATTTGAATTATATAGTATCAAATTCACTGCAGTGAAATTGCTTTTTTCTTGTTTTAGCTCAGATTGTTTCATGTGAAGTGAGGCTAAGGGATCAGTGCAAAGGAACAACTTGCAATAGGTATGGTAAATTTTATAGTTGTCATTTTGAGAATATTCTAAAAGGCTATATTTGTATGTGAGCTGAAATATCTTCCCTTTTCGTAATTCCAGTATTTAAGACCACAATGTATTTTATTTTTTTAGGTATGAATGTCCTGCTGGCTGTTTGGATAGCAAAGCCAAAGTTATTGGAAGTGTACATTATGAAATGGTAAATATTTTTAAATTCGATTTTATATCAGTAGAATGTTTAATTAATGTAATTTCTGTTGGAATACTAGATAAAATCATATTAAGAATGGATTTTGAAGAAATCAGTATTTACCAGAAATAAAAGCCTACACCAAATGTTTAAGTTAACATCAGATGATCTGAGTTTGCAGCTGATATTATGCACGTCCTGTCCGAATGTGCTTCATACTTCTTATATGTGCACAGAAGTAGAACTTTTCTGTCCACGTATTTGTATGTAAAGATGAGAAGGTGAGACATAAGGACCAATACAGCATTTTCTGGTTACACTCACATAAATTGTTTCAGTCAAATAGCCTACTTGTGTAAGCTTAATGCTAGCTGAAATGATATAATTTACTCTGTAGAACTGAAAACCAGTGTAAAAAGTAACAGCTACTGTGAATTATACTATGTGAATATATGTATATGTGAATATACAGTGAAATATACTGTGAAGTACACTGTAAATGAGGACAGTTTATCTCTGGGTAAGGCAAAGTGGTGTTTTCATTTTAAATAATACTTACATAGATCACATGAAACTTAATAGACCAAGTTTTTAATGACTCATTTTAATGAAAGCCTGTTTTGTTGTTGTGTTTTTTTTGGTTTTTTTTTGTTTGTTTTGTTTTGTTTTGTTTTCACAAATAAACTGCAGTGTAAAATATAACTATGTCTGACATTGAATTGCTTTTCCTGCTCTGTTTTTCAGCAATCCAGTATTTGTAAAGCTGCCATACATTATGGCATCCTAGACAATGAAGGTGGTTGGGTTGATGTCACTAGGCAAGGAAGAAAAAATTACTTTATCAAGTCTTACAGGAATGGCATTCAGTCAGTTGGGTAAGTTTTCTTAAAACTGAAATGTATGGAAAGTTTTTTATATGTTTGGTTTTTTTTCATACAAAATATACCACATAATACAGTTCATACTTTTTGTTATAAAGAATATGAAACTACTATAAAAAGGCATGTGGACATACAGGTTAATCAGTCTCAGTATTTGGAGTATTCAGTTAATTCATTTGTACATGAATACGTTTATTGCAGAAAACTAGTACATACTGGCACTAAAGTAAATTGCTTTACGTTTTGGACAAGGCATTGATATCAATCTGTTTCTCTGGGTCATCCAAAATAACCACCTGACAGTGGTTTAAATTATCCTCCCTAAAAATGACAATACAGACAAATACCTCTTTTTTTTAAATGCTTTGAGACAAAAAGATAAATAAGTCTTGTTTATATCAACACCAATGTATTAGGAGCTGGCTTTCCTAAAACAAGTAGTTAAACTGTAGAAAATCTTCAAACTAGAAGGAATTGATTTCCCATCACTTGAAATCTCTGTGTTTCTGTGCCAGATAAGACAAAAAAAAAAAACTGAGTGTGCAGTACAGAGTGTGTTTAGCACTTATCCTCTGAGAATTGGAATTCAGAGAAAGCCATTAATGCTTGATTTTGTTTGCTCTTGTCCAGGCTTAGGGCTGGCGTAGCCACTAGACAAGTGACAGATCTCTCTGTTAACCCCTCTCCCTTCTCAAAGGGGAAGAGAAAGGAGGTAAGAGAGAGAGAAGGTCAGTCAGAGGCATACCAAGTTAGTTCAAAGAGTAGTGAAATAGGAGATAAAGAGGAATTAATAGTCATCAATTGTGATGTAACAACAGCATGTATATATCCGACTTTATGTAACAACATGAGTCAGATACATCTGAATACCATTTAATTACTGAGAAAAGCAGACTGTTACAAGTTGTACTGAGTTTTTAGTGACACTGGTAATAATTTAACGTAAACACAAAATCCAAAACTAAAAATTGTTTTTCAAAAATATTTTGGTTGCTATATTTTGAGGGACAAAGACATTGCCTAATTTGTTACTAGCATATTTGTTCTCTTAGCAAATTAATTTACTAAAGGAATTTAACATGCATTGCTGGTTTTCAAACAGTTCCACAGGGAGTACAAAGTAAATGTGTCATTGCAGTAAATAGATTCACAACTGGGCAGAGGGGGGTGCAGTAAGTAAAAATTTACTGTGCATAATGTCTTGAGTTTATTTCTAAATTCTCTAATAAAAATTATACTAGCTAAAAGAGATCACTGAGATACATTATTTACTATTTCTCTTAATTCTCTTTCAGAAAATACCAGTCTGCGAACTCCTTCACTGTCTCAAAAGTAACAGGTTAGCATTTATTTATTGTAAACTCAGCACTACTGTGAATTGTGCTTTTTTCTAAATAACACACATTTGTTTACTTTCTTCAGTTCAGGCTATCACCTGTGAAACAACAGTGGAACAACTGTGCCCATTTCAAAAACCAGCCTCACACTGTCCAAGGTAAAATGCTTTTTTACTTCACTAATTGGAAGTGCTGCCATATTTTCTGTCACTTAGTAATTATCTGTTGTTGTCATAGATAAAGTGACAACAGTAGCTGTAAAAGTGGAACCAGGAATGTTTTACTGGAAATTTAGGCTTTGGTCTGAGTACAAGGCCAGGTAGATAAAGATCATCCACAGGCTTTTTCATGAGAAGAATCTCACTTATTTTACCCATAGAGATAAGGGTCTTTTCTTTGGTCCCTTCGCAAATCTTAGTGAAATCATTGTCCATTTATCTCATTATCTACTGTGATATATCATATCTCATATGGTTAAGGTAGGATGTGCTCTGCAGGTCACCATGTGCCATTTTTTTGAAGCCTACATTTTAACTCTATGAAAAGAGGCAGTGTTGCAATATTTTGAGGAAGGAAATCAGGAGTAGATCTTAAAACTATAGATGAGTCAAAGGTAAATACACTGTAGTATGATTTGTCACAAGCTAATTTGGAGATATCCAGAGAATTACTTCAGTAAAAGTTCTACAGCCAGTACAGGAAGCAAGTCGAAAGCCAGAACTGCTAGGAAAACACCTCTTCTTGTAGCACTTGGGTTCCTGGACTTGTTTGGTGTTTGGCTATGACTCCTAGCTTTCTAGCTGGAAGACGTGGAGAACTAGGCAAAGTGGAATGCAGGAGTGGATGGGTACAGACTCATAATTCTAACATTTTCATTTTTTCTTCATTATTAAAAACTAAAGCTACCTTAATTAAGAGTAAAATAGGGTCTGTCTTTAAGAAAATTTAAAAATAAGGTTAAAAATGATTAATTCTGATGTATCAACTGAGGGAACTTCACAACAACGATTCATTCAAGGTTCTGCGGATGCTGTTAATTCTGAAAATGTAGTCTCGGGAGTTACAAGCAGTAATCAGCTATGGAATTGATTTCACAACCTCATTTTTCCCTCTCATGTGCTAATCATAAACAAGCAGGTCCTCAAAAGGCCTCTTTGACCTCCTGTTTCCTTCAGACAGAAATCTCTTTCCTAGCTGCATTAGCCTGTTTGAGTTACTCAGCTGGTAAAACTGCAGCACGCCCAAGAGATGCAACGTGCTGAATATCAGTTGGAGCATGGACAGCATCCCAGAGGAAAACGCTTGCCCAGGGCTGCTCTGAGTAGGGTGGCTCAAAAGCTATTAGGTCATGACTTGTTTTTTAAATGGAACAGCTCAGAGTAGACCTAAATCTGACTGGCACTTCTTCCTTGTGGTTACCAGGTAAGATGCTTGACACCTCCTATAATACTATTGCCTTCCCCTATGGTTTTCCTGTGCATTTTGGAACCATAGCAGGTGTGAGTCACAGAGATGGTTTTTCTCAAAGGTGAACAAAATACAATTGAATAAAGGCAGACCTTGTTTCAGTAGCTTTCTGATTGCCAAAAATTGGCTAGGAGTTTCATTACTTTCCAGAGTTTTTCATTTTAGCCACAGATGCCAAGTGCTCGGCCTCATCAGAAGTTGCTAAATTGACTTGTATCTTCAGGTCATCAGCATCATAACTGGTCCTCACTCAGGTTTTCCTCTCCTGAGAAGATACACAACTGTACAGTTTGTATAGTAGAAACAGATAATAATGTAAGAGTGAAGAGTCTCTTCTCACTGGTTTTTCTACTGGCCTTACACATATTGAACAATAATGTCTGATTGTCCAGAGGGAAGAAGACCAGATCTGTTGAAGTATGTTTTCAAGCACATTATTGTGAAACACCTTATATCAGCAGTGCCTTCACCTGTATAGTCAAAGCCTCAAAAATTGACATCCTTTTAGTATCACTATGGACCCATACATATGCATCATCAAATTGATTTATACTCAATAATACGGATGTTGAATATGGTATAGATTCTGATATTATTCTTCCTAACTGTGTGTAGTTTATTTTGATATTTCAGGATATATTGTCCTCATAACTGTATGCAGGCAAATCCACACTATGCTCGTGTAATTGGAACACGAATTTATTCTGATGTAAGTATAGTGATTTACATTGCATTATATAATGAAATATAAAATGCTATGAAAAGCTATCATGTAAAGAGAACACGACAGCATATAGATATCTAGTTTTCTTCCATGTGCTGATTTTTTAGTCTTTTCCAAAGCTCTTTTTCAAAGGCTCCCATTTCAGTTAATAGTACTCAGCTGCTGAAGACACAGAAAATAATTTGAAAACTCAGTGTAGACTTCAGTGGTCTCTGAACCCATATTTTAATTTTTTAATCAAACTTCAGTATTGGCAGTGTATACTCAATTAAGACCTTGCTCTTTAGACTCTGATGCAACCGTAACTTCTGTAAGATTAAACTAACCAAAAAAATTATTCTGAAGATAAATGCCCATAGTCTTGTAGATTTTGATATTTTTTATCTGTGTAGATTGCTAAATATTTGCAGCAAGATTTTGATATATTTATTTAAAGTATCTCACATTGTCATATTATTTTTACAGACTAGTATTAGCTTTCTATTTTTGTCATTCTCTTTGTCAGTCAACTTTTTTACTGTCTTTTTTACATCATGTTTAATTCTGAAGTGGGTAGAAAGAATGAAAATAGTGTTCTTTTTATGCATCTCCTTTGTCATCTCTCTATGAAGAAGACAGGATGTAGTGGCAAAGAGAGCAATTCACATTTTTCCCAGTAAACTATATGTTTTAACTGTCTTTTAGCTGTCATAAGGAATAGTATGGTAACCATCTGAGTCAGATGGTGATTTTCACTACTTTCTAGCACTTCAAAATGCGTGAAAGTCATATGCAAGTATTCATCATTATTTTGAAACCGGCTGATGTCCATCTAACTTGTCCTAAAAACACTCTTGTCCTTAAGTAGTGTTATAGCTCAGGAAGATAATCGATTTGTGCATGTGAAACTGGGTCTTTAATATGTGTGGGGGCACTGAAAATAGAATCAGAGGATTGATTTGGTTGAAAAAGACCTTTAAGATCATGGAGTCCAGCTATTAACCTAACACTATCAAGTCCACTGCTAAACCATGTCACTAAGGACCTGATGTACATATCTTTTAAATACCTCCAGGATGATGACTCCCTCATTTCTATGGGTAGCCTGTTCCAATGTTTGACAACCCTTTTAGTGCAGAAGTTTTTCTTAATTTCCAACCTAAACCTCCACTGGCACAACTTGAGGCCGTTTCCTCCTCTCCTATCACTTGTTACTTGGGAGAACAGACCAAGTGATCCCTCACTACAACCTCCTTTCAGGGAGTTGTAGAGAGTGATAAGGTCTCTCGTGAGCCTTCTTTTCTCCAGACTAAACCATCTCAGTTTCCTCAGCTGCTCCTCATAATACTTGTTCTCTAGGCCTTTCACCAACTTTGTTGCCCTTCTTTGGACACACTCCAGAACCTCAGTGTCTTTCTAGTAGTGAGGTACCCAAAACTGAGCACAGTACTTGAGGTGCTGCCTCATCGGTGCCGAGTACAGGGGCATAATCACTTCCTTATTCCTACTAGTGTGTTCTGGCCACAGTATTTCTGATACAGGCCAGGATGCTGTTAGCCTTCTTGGCCACCTGGGCACACTACTGGCTCATATTGAGCCAGCTATTGACCCTTTTCTGGTCAGGCAGCTTAGGTCCTTTTCCACCCCTCTTTCCCGCCCCTCTTCCCCAAGCCTGTAGCATTGCATGAGGTTGTTGTGACCCAAGTGCAGAAACTGACACTTGGCCTTCTTGAACCTAATACTGTTGACCTTGGCCCATCAATCCAGACTGTCCAGGTCCCTCTGAAGAGCCTTCCTACCCTCAAGCTTATCTATGCTCCCATTCAGCTTCATATCATCCACAAACTTGCTGAGGGTGCCTTCAATCGCCTCATTCAGATCATTAAACATACTAAACAGAATGGGCCCAAATGCCGAGCCCTGGGGAGCACCACCTATGACTGTCCACCTACTGGATTTGACTCTGTTCACTGCCTGGCCATCCAGCCATTTTTTTAGCTAGAAGAGGGTACGCTCATCCAAGCCATGAGCAGCCAGTTTGGCCAGGAAGATACTGGATACTGTGCAAAACAGTGTCAAAACCTTTACTCAAATCCAGGCAGACAACATCCACAGCCTTCCCTCATCCACTAAGCACATCACCTTGTCACAGAAGGAGATCTCGTTACTCAAGCAGGACCTGCCTTTCATAAACCCATGCCAACAGGTCCTGAACCCTTGGTTGTCCAGTATGTGCCACATGATGACACTCAAGATGATCTACTCCATAACCTTCCCTGGCACCGAGGTCAGATTTATAAGCCTATAGTTTCCTGAGTCCTCCTTTCATCCCTTTTGTAGATGAGTGTCTCATCTGCTAACCTCCAGTCTACTTGGACCTCCCTGGTTAATTAATGTTGATAAATAATTGAAAGTGGTTTGGTGAGAACGTCCACCAGCTCCCTCAGTGCCCTTGGGTGGATCCCGTCCAGCCCCATAGACTTGTGTGCATCTGAGTGGAGCAGCAGGTTGTACACCACTTCCCCTTGGATTATGGGGACTTCATTCTGCTCCCAGTCCCTGTCTTGCAGATCAGGGGGCTGGGCACGCAGTGAACAGCTGGTCTTACTAGTAAAGACTGAGGCAAAAAAGGCATTAAGTACTTTCAGCCTTTTCCTCATACTTTGTCACTATGATTCCCCTGCATCCAGTAAGAGATGGAGATTCTCCCTCGCCCTCCTTTTGTTCCTGATGTATTTATAGAAACATTTTCTGTTGTCTTTTATAGTAATGGCCAATTTAAGTTGCAGCTGGGCTTTGTCACTTCTTATTTTTACCCTGCATAACCACTTGAAATCTTTGTAGTCTTCAAGAACTGCCTGTGCCTATTTCCAGAGGTCATAAACTCCCTTTTTTCCCCTGAGCCCCAGCATAACCTCCCTCTTCAGCCAGGCTAGTATTCTCCCCTGCCAGCTCATCTTTTTACACATAGGGACACCTTCATCCTGTCCCTTAAAGATTTTCTTCTTGAAGAAAGTCCAGCCTTCCAAGACTCCTTCACCCTTCAGGACTGCCTCCCAAGAGATTTTGTCAGCCAGGTTCTTAAACAGGTCAAAGTCTGCCCTCCAGAAGTCTAAGGTAGCAGTTCTGCTGATACTCCTCCTTACATCTCTGAGAATTGAGAACTCAATGAGTTTGTGATCAGTATGCCTAAGAGGGTCTCCAGCCATCACATCACCCACAAGTCCTTCTCTGTTTACAAATGCCAGGTCCAGTGAAGTACCTTTCCTAGTTGGCTCCCTCACCAGCTGTGTGAGAAAGTTGTCTTCCACACACTCCAGGAATCTCTTGGACTGTTTCTTATTTCCAGCAGATACCTGGTAAGTTGAAATCCCCCACAAGAATGAGGGCTAGCAATTGTGAGACTTTTGCCAGCTGCTTGTAGAATATCTCATGTACCTCTTCATCCTGTTTGAGTGGTGAATAACAGACTTCTACCATCATATCTGCCTTCTTGGCTTTCTTTCTGATTCTTAGCTATGAACACTGAAGCCTATCATCACCATCATTACTCTCCAGACAGTCAAGACTCAAGATTCAATGGAAGTCAGTTTTGTGGAAGGTGATTTTCTTTCAGTTCTGTGGTCACAATACTACAGCCTGAGTTTCACAGTGAATTAGAAAAGACTTTGTTGTAGAAGAAAGAACATCCATTTCTGTTTAGCTGACACAGGAGAACATCTCAGAATACATTTGTGCTTTGGTTGGAGAAGTCCCAGATGACTGTAATTATTATTGTTATACAGTTCTGCTCTAATATTATTTTAGATGTACTATCTCATTATTCATCTCCATTGTGTAGAAATGTGTGTAGCCATACTGCTTTTAGGAAAAAATGGACACAAATAGACCAGGGATGGGAGTCTTCTTACCAACTTCAGATTCTATCAGGGTAGATATCTGTACTGAACGTGTGATTCTAGGTTATCTTTACAGTAGTTTGTAGTGTATACAGTATCGTAGCAAAGGAGATAAAAAGGCATGTACAGACCAGAATTCATTTGACCTTTTCAGAGTGTCTACTTCAGTATAAGATGAATTGCCTAATAGAGATGGCTGGTCCTCTCCATTTCCTACAGAAGGGTCCCAGGACATCTAGCTCAGATGTAGACAGATGTGTCCTACCTATATTTGTACAGATATTCCCATTGATGTTATCAGCATTATGCAATTTTCTAGTGTTCCTTTGTTGCTAACAATTAAATTATTTTAAAACTGCGATACTTTTAACTGAAATTTTCACTAACTAATAGGATTATTTTGTACATTACATTACTGAACTGGTCTCAGGTGAGGCATTTATAGAGAATAATCTGCTTAATAGGTGTGTGTCCACTTTTGCAGTTTTTCATGTATTCATAGACCGATTTGTTCACAGACATAGGAATTAATTTGTCTGATCATCATAGCAAATCTGTTTGAAATTGAAGTCCATGATCTACTTGGTAGATTCCACAAAAAAGATGGGCTTTTTTTTGTGACATTCCTGCAAATTCTTTTGTTTCAGAAATGCGTGGATGTAGATGTGGATATATGCATATATGCACATGACTGTTTATTTGCACTATTGCTTAGGCCAGTTATATTCAGTAAATGAAGAAGGTTTTGCAGAGATATTAAGAAGAAGAAGTAAATAACATTAATAGATGTCACTAATGCAAGAAGATTTTTTTTTGCAATTTTCCTGCACGGTGACTCTCCCTTTCGAAGTGTCCACTTCGCCCCTTAGTTTGGTATTATTGGTAAGCTTCACCAGGGTACAGCTGAACCCATCATCCAGATCACTTAGGGAGATTTAAACAGTGTTGAGTCAAATACCAAGCCCTGGTGAGCCCCGCTTGTGACAGGTTGCCAGCTTGAGAATGAGCTATTTACCACTACCCTCTGGGTGTGGCCTGTCAGACAATTACCCACCTACCACATGGATTCCTTGTCTAAAGTATCATGCATCAGTCTCTCTATGAGAAGGCTGTGGGAGAATTGAAAGCCTTGGAGAAATGCAGGTAGACAATGCCCACCGCTCACCCCACGTAGCCTGCGCAGGTTACTTCCTCACAGAAGGCGTTGAGGTTTGTCAGGCACGATTTGTCCTTGGTGAATCCATGCTGCCTTTTCCCAAACACATACTTCATTTAACTTGTGATAGCCCCCAGGAGAATTCATTCTGTAACTTTCCCAGGGATTGAGGTAAGACTGATGGGCCTGTTATTTCCTGGGTACTTCTTTAGGCCCTTCTTGGAGATGGAGGTGTCGTGAGCCTTCTTCCAGTCTTTTGAGATGTCCTTCAATCTCCACAACTTCTCAAAGATTATGGAGATAAATCTTGCAATGACGTCAGCCACTTTTAAAATCCTCAAGGGGATATTGTCAGGCCCCATCAATTTACAGAAGTCAAGCTCTTGTAGTAGTTCACATACCAATTCTTCCTTCACTGCCAGTGGGCCTGTGTTTTTATCACTCTAGGGTTTTGTTCTAAAAGTCTGAGGCGCAACAGTACTGCATAATTTTGCCTGCATAAAGTCAATGGAATTAGACACTTATTTAAAAACTATTCTTTTGAAGTAATTGGAGGGTCTTCACCTCCTGATTCTATTTCCTTGCTCAGACTTGAGGAACAAAAGCCATTAGTCTACCACTAATCAACTGTCATAGCTAAGAAATTATTTTAGAACTCTGTCTTCTGTTTGATGCTCACATTATACTTTTAATCTAATTAGTTCTTGTCCATTCCTGGATAGAGAATTGTGATGTTCCCTTTGAATACGGATAATTTCTCTGCTGTTTGAGGTTCTGCAGGTAGAGATGGAATTTTTGCAGTCTATCCCTCACCTTTGGGTTAGGACATCCTCCCAAAAACATGACTGCAGTGTGCCTTTGCTGTTCTGTGGTTCCCCTGTTTGGCTCTGGCTGGAGATTAAACTGAATCTCCTGATCTATAATAACTGACTAAAGTTTAGGCTTTAGTACGTCTTTACTGTTGAAGTGAAGGCTGATACAGCCTTTCATTTTGAAAGGCTCAAGAATTCAAACATGTTCCTAATCTTTGAACTGAAATTGCCTGAAATAATTTGTTTTGGGGTCATGCTGCAAGGAGATCTTTGAATAGACAGTGTCTGTATTCCTATAAGCTGGCCTAACTACTATGAAACAAATTTAAATACTTTAATAAAATTAGTCATGAAGTAAATGTTTCCTAGAACTTAAGTTTAAATGTCTTTATCCATTTTCTTCTAAACAATTTAGAAATAAAAGGACGAATGAAAATTAATCTTCTCCTCATTCTTTCTTAGCTCTCCAGCATCTGCCGGGCCGCAGTACACGCTGGTGTAGTCCGCAACCAGGGCGGTTATGTTGATGTTATGCCAGTAGACAAAAGAAAGGTGTATGTTGCTTCCTTTCAAAATGGGATATATTCAGAAAGGTACAGAGCCCAGTCTCAAAGGTTACACTTTACCCTTCACCTCAATAAGACTTACAGTCTTGTATTGTGTCTGTCTGTACCAGGGGCTGTGCTAGAAACCAAGCAAATAGACCAGCATGGATGATTTACAGAGCTTGGGTAACAACTGTGGTGAATTTGGGGAAACTGTGGTACCAGAGCTGCCTGTCTCCTCTAAGCTCATAAATCATTATACTAAAAAGCTCCTTATGAAATAAATAACCCTCATGTTAACTTTGCTGGTTCTGTTGCAACTAACACAATATTTTATAAGAAAAATTGCCTTTGCTTTCTTTGTGTTTTGTTTTTGGTTTTGTTTTGTTTTGTTTTGTTTTGTTTTTCATAAATATTAGTGATATATTCTGTCCAAATTAGAGGATCTGCAATAAATGGGTTCTAGTAGCTGATGCAGGTTTCTTGGTTCATGACGAAATGTTTCTTACTGCTTTACATCAGTAAGATACAAACCAGTAAGCCTGTGTCACAAATGATATTTACAAATATTAAAATTCAGAGTCATAGAATCATAGAATCCTTTAGGTTGGAAGGGACCTTCAAGATCATCAAGTCCAACCACTGAGCCATTAGAACATGTTTTTAAATTCCATTTTTGTAATGGTTTGGCTGTTTTTAACAGTGTTTTCCTGGAAGACATAGGGATGCGGTGAAAGTTCATTTAGTTGTGTTCAATGTATTCATGCATTCTATGATAGTAATGCATGGTTGCATGTTGCAGATTAAATTAAAACCCTGAACGGGTTCTCCAGGTTCTAAAGGAAGAAAGAGAAATTACCTTTAAAAAAAATCTTGTACCAGTCTTTCAGTTCTGTAAAGATAAGAATGACGGTCACCTCCAAAAGAGGCCTTCCAAGAAACTTGTAAGGGAAAAAACCTCCAAAAGTTTCTGTAGAGAACTTGGAAGTAGGAAATGATACAGTATTTTTTTCTTATTTTTATTTGGGAGTAGGCAGATGTCCTGCCTCTTTCCCCCAAACCTTTAAACAACCCAGGAAATCTGTAAAATACAGATTTCACTTGCTTAGAGGATGATCTTTGGTCTTTCCCCATAACCATCTAATACCCTCAGAAGTGCTTCCTTACCAATACTTTTGTACTCCATGTAAATCTCCTCATGTAGTAAGAGATCTAGCCAGGAAAAGTATTGTAAATTTAATTATTGTTTGTACTTTACCATCGTGGTAATGTCTGGAAGATCAGCAGTTTGGAAAACAGTCCCATGCAAGTTTTCTGTGAAGCACAAGATGATGTATTCTAATACAACCTGGTTCATTGTGCCCTTCCTTGCTTTCACCTCAATTTCCCTTTTCTTCCCAGATATGCCTCTGACAGGATTTGCAAAAGGGAAGACAAAGGGGCTGTTAAATATGACATGATAATTCAGTTTATAAGACAAAAATATTTATTCTAACAAAATTTAATTGCAGGTGGTTCATTTTGTTTCATTTCTTTTGCAACTGTTCAGAATGCATTTCCTTTGTTTTTGTAAAATATTAGTTCTCTTTAGAAATTTATTCCTCAACATAGAAGCATCTAACAATCTCCTAGGTCTGCAAATTCTCTCTGAATATTGATATTAGAATACTAAGCATAAGCTGTATGCTTTTTCTTTTTCCTAAAACCATTTTTTAGGAAGTTGCTTCAATAGAGCTTCATTCTTTAAACCAGAATCCCTCATCAGAAAGGAATACTTGAATTTTTTTATGTTATGATTTGCTCCTAATAAGCTTCTTAGAAGAATAATAAATCTGAAATATGTGTAATTTGTATTTGTAACAGGTTTTTTTTTAAAATTCTTGGATAGCTAAATTTATGAGTAGTCACAAGAAGAGTTGCAGAATCCTAAATTTATATTTCAAAAAAGTTGTCATTGGGGTATTGCATTCTTAAAAATAACATCAGGAATGTTTTTGTGTTTCAGTTTACAGAATCCTCCAGGAAGCAAGGCATTCAGAGTATTTGCTGTTGTTTGAGTCTAGCAGATAATATGTAAATCACATGAATGAAACCAGAGCACTTGGAAGAGAATAATAAGGGTCAATTCTTATAATTCCTAAAATTTGTATAAAGCTGTAACATTATTGTACAGAAGTTGTATGCTGCTTTCCACCAAAAAGTTTAGATTGCGTATATATCTTAATGAAAACTGTAAAAGTAAACATGGGAGAAAAATTAATTTTAAAATCTATAATTATATGTACCAATATTTTGAATCCTGTGTTAAATATTGCTATATTTTCTTAGCAGTTACTCCTATACAGTTAATACAAAGCTCATAAATGTTCTTTGTTTTCTTCATCTGAAAATATTATTGTATGGTGCTTTATATATGCCACTAACAGTAACCTTAAAACTATACCATAGGTAGGCCTGAGTTTTTATTTTCAACGTAATAAAAAGAAGCCATACAAATAAATCAATATAATAAATCATGCTTTAAGATAAGATAAAAATGTATATAACTTTTTGACAACTTAAAGTATCATTAGCCATGCAAATCTAAATGAAGAGCTAGACTATTTTCAGTTTCACAGTAATCATAACAAAGACAAATAGCTGGTTTTACGTAAAATGGAAAATATAAAATATAGGGAAGTCCTGGATCATATTAGCATATTTTCCTCTAATGAAATATTTTAAAGATTCTGGGACATTCATGCTTATAACTTCCTAAATATGTTAAGAAAATGTTTATTGGATGCTGCAAGTTCTTTTGTTCAAACAACCAGTTCATTATGGCCCAGTCCTTCACAGATATCCAGCAATTTTGGGATGGGTGAGTGAGAACAGACATATATAACCTTGAAAGATATGAGAAAATTTTCAGATTAAGAGGTGGAATAACCTGAAAATAAGGAATGAGACATCTGTTCTGCAATGGAGTTCTGCACATATGCATACTTTATTTTTGCCACGTGACTCCTTCAGTTACCAAATATGGTTTCAGCAAAAACATAGGATTGTACACAGACATAAGAATTTTCCAGCTTTAGGCCTTAAGCTGTACATGGTCTCTGCATACTGTACGGCAATATGAGAATAAATGCAATAAAAAAACCTTAGGCAAAATGGTAGCAAAGGCTAACCTTGCTCCTCACGATCTGGCAAGTACTCCTGCAGGCCAGGGGCTATAGTGGTATGGAGCCCAGTGACACTTATGTCATTTGTTGCTCCACCAATTTTAAAAATTCATTTATGGTGAACAGCTGTGTGCACTAATTCTACCATACTATGGTATATGAAGAATAGTTAGTGGTGATATGACGTTTCTTTCTATGAAAAGTATATTGGTGCTTTAAGACAGAAAAGCTGTTAAACTTTATTTTTGGTATATTTTGTTTCTGGTGTTGAAATTATTTCCTTTCAACTTGTGAACTTATTCATATTCATCATATTTCAGAATACTGTATTCTGCCTTCTGTTTTGCTACATGTACTACCTTATGTACTTATGCAAGCTTTGTTAGGTTTTTAATCTTTTTTGAATAAAATTATTTTACAGAGAAATAGTACCTTTGACAGCCCTTTTGTTTTTGAATGGTTTGCCCTGCCCCAAGAAGAAAAAAAACAGCCACCCAAACTTTACTTTTGCATCGCAGGTGTAGGACCAAGCAATAGACAGTCTGAGGTTCTAGAAACTGTAAAAGCAATTTGGGCACACAACTTCAATTAATTGCATTGGGAGTTTTGTGGATAAACTTCCTGTCATATTTTCAAGTTTTGACCAGAGTCTTTGGGAACAGATTGCTATCTCATTTTAATGGGGAGCTCTGTGTCAGGAAGTGATTATGAGAAAGCCACCACCTTTTATCCAGTCCAGCTTTTTGCTGTTGTGGTAAATATTTCTAGTGCAAATGTTCCTAGCTACATTTGCTGGGAACAAACAAGTTTTTATATTACACAGTATTTTTTAGCCTCATAAGACTAATGGTCAGCTTGGGAGTTCCATTTGGGAAATCTGTTTAATTGGCGAGGGAGTCAGACTCTTTGATGTATAAACTCTTCTTGTGCAGGTGGTGGCAGGTGGGCATTGAAGGAAGCTTTATAGACTTTGCAATACTGGCATTAACCATTTTTCATCATTCAAACCAAACTGCAAGCTGACTTTGACTGTGGTGGGACTCCAAGTCACTCAGAGCCTTCAGACAGACTTGCACTGCCTTTCCTTAAAAGCACCAAAGCAGTAACTCAGAACATCAGAGTAAGGCCACTTCTGAAATTAAGCACACGCAGAATTGCTGAGGGAGACATCTGAAGCAAAACAGTGTGGATGCAACAGTAGTGTCCTTTTCCACAGACATGGGACACTTTCTTGTGGCCTGGCCGTGTCATCCAGTAGCTCTCCATGTCCCCTGCCTGGCCTATGGTCCCCAGCAGTTGCTTTAGGAGCCCCAGGGATGCCTGTTGAGTGTTGCAGAGCCTGGGCAGCGAGCTAGGTCCCTGCTCTGCTGACCACCAGGCAATAGGGCACACCCCTTTCTTTAGGCAGTGCAGAGCCTGGTGTGAGGAAAAGATCAACAGTCAAACCTTCAGACGTAAACACTACTTCCTCACTTTGTGCAAATGGGTGACTGGTGTTTCTTCATGTGGAGCCACAAATTTCTGCCTTTTCCTTCCATTTATTGCTGATATCTTTCAAGTTCTTCTTCATATCTTTGCTTCCTCTGCTCTCTCTCATCTGTAAAGTGCAACCTACACATGATGGGAGTTCCTGTGCAAGGGGGCAGGAGTGGACCATTGGTGCCATAACAACAAAGTGAATGCTTGAGGGGATAAGTGAGGGCCACATCCAGCATGTGAATGGTTGCTGTGAGCAGTTCTACTAACCACCACAGTGACAAGAAGAAGGGCAGGTAACTTTCTCCTCACATCTTCTGTTGCACAAATTTTGGTGTCCTGTTGCTTTTCCACATGCAATGATTTTATCCTGTTACAATATAAGCATTCCAGCTAACGTTGTTTTTTTGAGAAATCATCTTCTGCATTTACTGTAAGTAATGGGTCAATGATTAGACATTTCCAAGTAATTGTAAGGTGGAAGCTACACACTGTTAATTTTGTCTGCACCAGAAGCAACATATTCCAAATGGTCATAACTAATTCACAGTATCAGAGTATCAGAAAACTGGTTGTAGCCTAATGATAAATATAAAAGAAAGTAAAATTTAAAATGCAAAGAATTGTTTAGCTAACTGAGCAAAAATTACACTCTTAACTTGAAATTAAAAAATAATAAATAAAAGAAAGCTTAATTCATGCTATTCATAATATCTAGCCTGCCTCCTAGGGAAGACCTATCTAACAGGAATTATTAGAACTGATATATAAACATCCTCTGCCAAAGAAAAAAACCAACCCAACCTGTTTTAGTACATTGATAACTCTCACTTATAATTTTGAAAGGGCTAAAATGCCAAGAAATCTAAAGCCACTAGATACACCAGGCCTTTAAAAGCATATAAGAAGCATATGAACCTTTTACCATGATCCTGTGGTACTTCCCATCATGATTTGCTCCATAAGGAATGTTTTCAAAAGAAAAGCATAGAATTCATTTGGAGTGGAGTTAAGTATTTGTCAATCATAGTTCACTTGCCTGGTGAGCTTTTTTGGTAAGTATCAGTTAAGGCATTTCTCTGCTGTGCTTCATCCCTTTCAGCTGGAGTAACTAATTTCATAATTTTTACTCATAACTTTTTAGCATGGAAGAAAGTGCTCAAACCCAGACAGATAATTCTTTAACAATTTCTCACCATTTTGACAGCTATATGAGGATACTTCATTTTTAGGGAACTCAGGACCCATACTTACGTTTGAAAAGCAAGTCCTTCAATTGCTTAATCATTTACTTAGGCCTGTTTGTATGCAATGTAAATAGCAAGCTGACTTGGACTTCTCATATATTGCTGCTACTGTACATCCCAAAGATAAATTTGAAACAGTTGCTAAATAAATCTCCCTGTGGTTAATTCAGTCTTCATTCCTTATTTACCTGTTGAAATCCGTCTGTCTCTTGGTAGCTGCGGGTGTTTTTTTCCTACATAAAAGTCACATCTTCTGAATAAGCATTTCTTTTATTTTGTTAGAACATCTTCAAGACCTTTGGGGCTGCAGACTGCACTAAACACAGAAACAGAACAATCATTTTTGCAGAAGAATATAGTCTCAGATTTTGGATTTAGCCCAGTTCAGTACACAAAGAAGTGAATTGCATTAATTGATTTAGTGCTTACTGTACTGGAGGCGATAGTCCTACCCCAGCACAGCTGTAACTGAACCAAGGAATATTTTTGTGAAATGTTCTGAGCTCCTCTCTCTTATCCAGTAAGAATTAGGGGGTAAATTAGGTCAGTTTGCGTTTTTAAATAAAAGGAGTAACTAGACAGATGCTTTTGGTGGCTGGCTGATAAAGATTTGCCCTTCTGCTACTGATTGAGGGTTTAAGCATGTTCTATCAAACGTCTTCAATGATGTGCTGGTCATGCAGATACAATGATCTTTTTACTTGGCACTAGTGCAAAACCAAATTACATTCAGAAGCTTCTGATCCAGCAGCTTCAAAGCTCACATAACTTTAAAGCAGTTTTCTAAATGTTATAAGGCACTTATTTTGTAATTTGTTATTTTGTAATGTGTAAAGATTTATCCTAGAAATGAGGAGGTCACATGTTCAATGAGATGCAGTGTTGCATCTACTACACAATAAAAATATCATTCTTTGATTTAGGATTTCTTTTCTATTAATGCTTCAGTTCAATTTGTAGTTTTCATTACAATCCATGGAGAAGTACAGTCCAATCAAAACACTTAAAATATACTTAAGGTAAACCACATCTCTACCGTGGTCTCTCAGCTTTTACCTCACACCAGTACAGCACATAAAAACTCAGAACCACTCCTATAAAAGTTGCAGTCCAGGACCCCTCAGAAGGCTGAGTTTCCCAAAACTAAATAACCTTCATATAACAATTCAAAGCTCATTTTGTTTTCTTCAATGTATAGAAATAGGCAAATAATGAGGTCACTGGGACTGAGAGGAAGAATTCATCTGTATCTTGACTGATAGGTGCATAAGAGCTTGCTGAGGTATAGGGATGCATGAAAATTTGATGCAGATTTTAAGTTTTATTGACAAGCACCCAAACTCGCAGTAAAGAGTTTTCCAGTAAGCTTTCCTCTTTGTGCGGGCAAATCATTGTTGTGGTTTGAGACTTGGGGGCGGAACAGGTGATCTCTAGGGCCCAAGAGGGTCCTGGGGGGAAGCGGATATTCCCTCCCCCTCCCTCTGCCACCTCTTTCAAAGAGGCATGAAGTGGGTGCTTCTCTCTCTTGCCCTTTTGCTCTTTTGTCTTGGTGTGCTGAAGCGTCAGCATGCCTGATTCCATGTGGCTCTGAGCAATCCTACTGCCATCTGAGACCTGGGGTTTGTATATCTTGTGTTTACTCTGTATTCCTCCCGTCTTTATATATTTATATATACCTCCCTTCTTGTTTTCTGTTCACTGTTAAATAATATACTTTATTTTTATCAACTTCCAATCAGTGCAAAAGCCTCTCTCCTGAATTTCCTTG